CCCCCAGGGTCCTGAACTTCTCCGATCTTCTGGAAGATCACGTGGCCTGGGAGATAAATTCGTAGAAACCATTAAAGTCGCCGGGGACCGATGGCATCATACCTGCGCAGCTGCAAAGGGCTCTGAAGGTGTCGTGCAATTTATTGGATCCTATTTATGCGAACTGAGTGAGGACCGGGTACATCCAAAGGCTGGGAAGGTAGACAGTGTTGCGTTCATCCCGAAGGCCGGAAAAGGATCTCATGTTTCCCCGCTTCGTTTTTGCTAAAACCTCTTTTGCTAGAAATGCTAGAGAGACTGATAGACCTGTACATAAGAAACGCGATTCCTCGTGACTGTCATTCAAGAGCTCAATATGCTTATTGCAAGAAAGGTGGGTGAATACCGCTCTGCACACATTGGTAAAGAGGTCAGAGGAAGCCTTCACGCGTGAAGATTATGCAGTAGGGGCCTTCTTCGATATCAAGTTGGCCTTCAACAATGTCACTCCACAGGCAGTAGTCAAGTATATTAATAATCTGGGGGTTGAAACCAACCTAATAAAGCTTATCTACAGTTTATTTCGTGACAAAACTGTCGCGACGGAGTGGGTGAGCGTTTGCACAGAGTGCAGAGTAAATAGGAACACTCGGTTTCGGTTGCCTTGTACTGCTGTAGGAGAGCTATCGGTGAAAAGTGGGGTCTCTCGCCCAAACTAATTCATTAGCTCTAGAAAACCATTTTATAAATTGTTTCAAGGAGCCCTTGTCTGGCGGAACTCACTAGAGAAGGCTACACTTGTAAAACAGGAATTACCGGAGCATTAGGAGCCACACCTACACTGGCGCTTAACATACATAGTTGAAAACGGCGCCTGCGGATATTACAGACAGAATTGTCGCAGCACGAACTGTTATTAGGCTAAGGGAAACCGGGTCCTTTCGTGACATAAAAAGTAAAAGAAGATGTTTCTCTGCTGCAGAAAATGTTTTTATAGGACACTTTAAAACACGTTACCTCTCAAGGGCTAGTGATGGGGGTCTTACGAATTTCAACTGATCCTTTTGTATCAGCTGTCAAGAGGAAGATGAAGTGGAATCATCTCCACACTTTCTTTTAGACTGTTCTATCTTCCCGAGGCTAAGATGCAAGCATTTTGGCTTGCGCTTCTGAACAAACACTGAGCTCTCAGGGATCGAAATCGCGTCCCAACTTAACCCAACCTAAGCTGTACTTCTTTGATCTTTGAAATAGTTGGTCACATTGTGTATACCAGTGGCAAGAATAAAAGAAATGTCTTATTTCGACCGGTCTTGTCTATATTTCTTTTGTTTATTTAATACTTAAATTTTTTTATAAAATTCTGCCTCATTTTAGTTTGAATTAACCTCATATAAATGCGCATGTTGCACAAAAATTATAAAAATACAAATAATTTTCACCAAAATTTCATACTACTTATTCATAGTTTTTAGAAAAAATTTTGCGTATGCAGTTTTAAGTCCCATTACAGTATAGTGGGATAAAGTGCAAGTTTCAACCAGCTACAAAATACCGTTGATTTTTGGGATTCGTTTTACGGTGCTGGGCATTTTCTTCAATATAAAAAAATTTTCGAAAATAATTTTTATGGAAGAAAATATTTGACACCGCCAGCAAAGAAATTTAACAAAATCAGAGGTATTTTAAGCCAATTGAAACTTGCACTTCATCCTACTACATCTATATATAAATACGCCAGAAGAAAATTTTGCAATCCCTTTTTTGAAGGCACCGTTCGCTTGATTTCATTGAAACATACACCAATTTAAAGGACATAACTTCCTCTAATCCAGAAATGTTAATCCCGATATATGGGGAGCGGGGCATTTGATATCTATACTAAAATGTGAAAACCACTATATCTTTAAAACCAATTATGCTGGGGAACTGAAACTTAGCACAGATGCATAGATTGTAAATACCCTACTTACGGTGAAAAATGGTAGGTACCGGGAAACTGAAATTCCCATATCGCTTATCTCTGGAACCACTTAAGCTAACTACCTGAAGTTGAACAAAGCCATTTATGATATCAATAACGTATTTATGGCGAAAAGTAGTAGATAATGAAAAACAGGGCGCGGCACCGCCCATACAAACTGAAATTCACATATCGCTTATCTCTGGAACCGCTTATGCTAACGTCCTGAAATTCGACACAGCGATTTACGATATCCATCACGTACTTATGGCGAAAAGTGGTAGATAACGGGAACGCTCATACAAACTGAAATTCACATATCGCTTATCTCTGGAACCGCTTATGCTAACGTCCTGAAATTCGACACAGCGATTTACGATATCCATCACGTACTTATGGCGAAAAGTGGTAGATAACGGGAACGCTCATACAAACTGAAATTCTTATATCGGTTATCTCTGGAACCGCCTATGCTAACGTCCTGAAATTTCACACAGCAACATATGTTGTCAATACCATACATATGGGGAAAGTGGTAGATTTTGGAAAAGGGGTCGTGGTACCGCCCATATAAACTGAAATTCTCATATCGCTTATCTCTGGAACCGCTTATGCTAACGTCCTGAAATTTCACACAGCAACATATGTTGTCAATACCATACATATGGGGAAAGTGGTAGATTTTGGAAAGGGGCGTGGTACCTCCCATACAAGCTAAACTTCTCGTACCGCTTATCTCTGGAACCGCCTATGCTAACATCCTGAAATTTGACACAGAAAAATATTTTGTCAATACCGTACTTACGGCGAAAAGTGGTAGATTTTGGAAAAGGGGTCGTGGTACCGCCCATATAAACTGAAATTCTCATATCGCTTATCTCTGGAACCACTTATTATAAGGTAATGGCATTTTATACACCTACATTTATACACATATAAAATCGCAAGAATCATTCAATTGGGAACCATTTTCTCCCAGGTTTAAAATCGCATCGAATAATTGTGCAAAATTTTTTTGAAGGAACAGTGTGTCTGTCTTCCAATAGGTGGCGCAGGGATTGAGAGCTATCATAAAAAATTATATTTATGATCAGATTTGTTTCACTTTTAGAACACGTATTAGTAACATAAAATTTGGTATAATTTGGTAGCCCAGTCGTGTGATGAAGCCAAAAAGCAAGGCGAGTTTCCTGAGATTTGGCGTAAGAGGAAGAAATACATTCCGAAGGTGGAGGAACTTCTGGGGATCAATTGGATTGAATTTCTTGTCCACAACAAATTTAAAAGAAATATTTTGAAGATGAAAAATAAATATTAATTTGGAAAAACTTTAACACTTTTTAGCCCTTGGCAGTATATTCAAATATCTTTGAACATGGATACATATCTGCCTGAGTAATAACATTAAATATAGTAAGAACTTTTAAAAAAATATGTATACAGTACATAAATACTCACTTTTTTGCCCTCGCAATATGTTCAAATATCTTTGAACATGTGTGCATACATACATACATCTGCCAGGGTAATAAAACTGAACATAAAAAATACGTACAATAATATTTATTGACACACAGAAAATACAGTCCACTTTAGAATAGAAGATAAGTAAAATACATAAACATGAGAAATTAACAAAAACCCATAAATTGTAAGACATTTCACTGTCAATATTTTGTACAAAACTGAAATAAGAGATCAATGCGTTTATCATTGTAGACAAATATACATACATACATACCTATGCATGCATTAGAAAATGCATTAAATAATATGAATGGAAAATATTTAATAAACAGATTCAGATTCGATCAGAGTCTCAACTAACCACTTCTTCACCGCTTCTCATTTTCTTTTATTTTTATTTTGTATGCGTTACTTCCCCCCACCAGCGGTAAGGGGTAAAACTTTTAATATTGAAAGTACTAACCTCTTATTTTATTAAACTCTACTTCCCCCACCAGTGGTAAGGGGTAGAGAAATTTAAATTAAAAGTATTTGTAGTTCACGCATTGCTGGGAATTACTTGTTACCCCCCATCCGAGGTAAGGAACAAGTGACCCAGCTCTGCTACGAACGGAGCCTTTCTGCATGCTTTCCTATTAGACAGTGCCCGGTTAGGGCCCTCAGGACGTTAGATATATCCTCTCTTCTAAGATAGTATACACTTCGTGACCGCTTCCGGCCCCATTTAAGCCAAGTCCGCCAGGAAATTCGACAAGTCGCACTTTAGCTCCATCTTTCTTCAGCTTAATTGTAAACAAATTCACTAGGTAGCTGCTTGCAAGTGGCAAAAGGCATACCAATATGTTCTTTACCAGGAAGAATCTGCCTGGTCGTGCCTTGCCTTGCTAGTTCATCTGCCATCCAGTTTCCCTCTATGTCCCTGTGACCAGGAACCCAAGTGAGGTGAAGTCTGTTCTGCTGGGCTATCCCTTGTGGATAAGTGCGGCAGTCCAGCGCAATCTTTAAGTGAAACGTGAAAGAGCTCAGAGCTTTGATTGCAGCCTGACTATCACTAAAAATGAAGATGTCCCTTCCCATCATTTCAGTTCCAAATATCTCAGCAGCTTCGGTGATAGCTGAAACTTCAGCTCGGAATACGCTGCAGTAGTCCGGTAACTTAAAATAGATTTTTAGAGGAGTGTTTTGTGAGAAAACGCCGCCTCCTACCTACCGCCGAGTTTTGAACCATATGTATAGATGTCGGATGGAGTGTTGAAATCTTCTTTCCACTCCTCCCTGCTTGGGATTCTTGTGGTGAAGTTGCTTTCCGGAACCGATATCGAAGCTTAGCGGTCTGTGCTGTTCGGAATGAAGCAAAATTCATTTAATATACAAGAGTGTCCCTGGTGAGAACGACGAGGGTAGATACTCAATTTTACAGCAAATGAATTGATATTTATTTAAATTAGGAATGACAGAGTATGATTATGAAAATATAAATTGAAAGTATAAAAGTATTTCTCGATGTTCTTGCTACCGCGGCACGTTTGTTTCTGCCCGAGTCTGTCTACCCACTCGTTGGATTCTGACAGCGGTGTCTGGTTGCCATCGCTTACAGTCGGCTTTCCTGACCTTTCGGAGCGCCCTCGCCCGAAGTGCCGCCCGAAGTGTCGCCCGTAGGGTCATCGTCGTCGAAATCATCAGGTGGTAATGTACACCAAAGTTTTAGCTGACCTGATGCGAATACTGATGTGTAATGGCGTTGCGTTCGCTGGGCATGTGGTAAATCTTCGATCACATACCGGTCGTTTGGAAGGACCTCGCGGATTACGAATGGTCCTTTGTAACGGGGTTCTAATTTCCGGGAGGTACCTGTACTTGTCGGCTCGTTCGTTGTTAGTACTAGGTCACCTTGTTTGTAGATCTTTGGACTAGCATGCCGAGCATCGTATCGTCGTTTAGCTTGCGCTCTCACATCATCGATTCGGGTAGCGGCTGTAGCCCTTAGTTGTTGTAAGTCGGTGTCGGTTAATGTGTCAGCTTGATCATCCTGAAGCGTTTGGATGAGCTGGTTTTGCAATATGTCGCGTGGTGTGTATCCATACAGAAGCTGGCATGGAGTATATCCAGTTGTCTTGTTGGTCATCGTATTGATGCTCCATTGCACCTGGCGTAACTTGTCGTCCCATCGTCTTTCGTTATCGGTAGATAGTAACAACATAGACAAGATGATGCGGTTTGTGCGCTCGGCATGGCCATTTGCACGTGGTGTTCGGACTGCAATAAGAACATGTTTCACGTTGTTGTCTTTACAAAATGTCTGGAAAACTTTCGAAGTAAAAGCAGTTCCTCGGTCGGAGATAATACGACCAGGCATTCCCACGTAGCTTGTTACTTCTTGTAACGTCTGTATAACATATTTGGTGGCAGTGCTTTTCACTGCGCGGATGATGGTAAATTTCGTGAATGAGTCGACGATCACGAATATGTGTTCGTGTCCTTTGGAGTTTCTCGGAAATGGTCCCAGATGATCCATATGAATAGTTGCGAATGGAATCGGCTTAGTGTGGTCGTAGTGGTACTGACCTTCTCGTCGACCACCAGGCGATTTATTTAAAACACATCCGATGCACGATTGAATATAGCTCTTGACGTAGTTCCTCATGCGCGGAAACCAAAACAAATTAAGGATTCGGTCAATAGTTTTATCGACGCTCATGTGACCTGCCCTATCGTGACACTCTTGGAGTACATGGTGTCTAAGCTGTTTTGGAACAACCCATAGTAGTTTATGGTTGCATTTACGGTATAGGCGTCCTAGTTAGATGACGTAATCAGTGTAGTCTGATTTCTTTCCGGTTCGCATCTCGTTGACAATCCGTTTGACGTTGGTATCCTGTAATTGGATGCTGAACAACCAGTCGGCTTCATCGATAATCGTCATGGAGATTTTAAGATCGGCGGTGTCGAGTTCGTGTGCATCTTCGTAGGGGGCGCGGCTTAAAGCGTCCACATGTGCCATTCGGGAACCTGCTCGGTGTATAATCTCGATGTCGAACTCTTGAATCCTCAACCACCATCGGGCGATACGTGGTATCAGCTCTCGTTTTTCCATCGTCGTTTCTAAAGCGCTGCAACTGGTAATCACTTTAATCGTCTTAGCGTAGACGTAGTATTTGAATCTCTCCAACGATTCTACGACTGCCAGAGCTTCAAGCTCATAGCTGTGAAACCGTTTTTCGTTGTCCGTAGTAGAGCGACTGAAATATGCTGACCGTTCTCCAATTGCATTAGCACACTAGCGAGGCCTACAGAGCTGGCGTCCGTGTGCAGCTCGTGTTCGGCTTCTATGCGGTAGCTTACCATTGTCAGCTTCGACGTTAGCGAACGTTTGAGATCGTTGAATGCTGATTCTTGTGGTTGCACCCACTTGAACTTGACGTTTTTGCGTAACAGATTGCGTAGCGGCTCGGAAATTATTGAATATCCGGCGACGAACTTCCGGAAATACCCACTGAGGCCTGAAAACTTGCGTACCTCGGTGACACTTCTAGGTTGCGGAAAACGAGCAATAGCGTTAGTTTTTATTTCGCCGGGGCTGATGCCGGCAGGATGTAGTTGATGTCCCAAAAATATTATCGTCTGCTTGTATAGCTCACACTTGTTGATATTCAATGTGAGTCCACATGTCCGTAGTACTTGAAGTATGCGCGAGAGTTTTGCATACATCTCATCGAAAGAGTTGCTGCCGATTAAAATATCGTCCATGTAGTGGAGCATGTCGCCTTTCTCTACTCGTTTTTGGAGTTCTGCCATAAGTCGATTGAAAATTGCTGGCGCGTTCTTCAGTCCAAACGGCATGCGTTTGAACTCGTAGAGCCCATTGGTGGTGATGAAAGCGGTGAACTTTCGGCTTTCAGGTGCCATTGCTATCTGGTAATAGCCACTGTTTAAATCCAGGGAAGAGAAGAATTTAAATCGTTTTGCTTCGTGTAATCGTTCCTCGATGTTTGGAACAGGAAAATTTTCCTTCTTCATTAGCTTGTTGAGGCGCCGGTAATCGATGCATAGTCGATCACCTCCGCTTTGTTTTTTTAATTACTACGACGGGGCTCGCATATTCTGACGTAGATTTGGTGACGATGTCATGTTGCAACAGCTCGTCGATCATGCTGTTAACAATACTACGTTTCGGCTCTGGAATGCGATACGGTACTTGAGCTACTGTTTGGCTACTCTCAAGTTCGATGCTAGCTTCGACCACGTCCGTTTTACCAATACCGTCTAGTCCAGTAGAGAAAACCTCGGCAAAGTTCTCTAAAAGACCCTGCGTCTTTACCCGTTCAGCTTCGTTGCTGAAATTAGATAAAAGTTTAGAAAATTTGCAATTAGATATTACCGGCTGTTGTATTAATTGTTTGTTTTCGAATATGGTGCGACCACTGTCGATTTTCATCGTTGCACTAGATTATCGTCGGCAATGTAAACTTGTGCCGTGATGACAGCTTCGTCGATGATGATATCTACGATGATAGCTTCGTTGAGTATGCGTACGCCTCCACAAATGCCTTTTATTTTCACACAGCACTTGCGCCTTTCAGCCTTGATTCGTTCGGCTACAGATTCGCGAATGATACTGCATTGGCTTCCAGTATCGACGAAAGCAGTATACGGTTTTGACTGTATATAAATCGTTTTGTTGAAGCACTCGTCACAATTTGTAACGCCAAGTCGTCGTAAATTTGCTGCTTTGTCACAATTTCCATCGTTTGGGTGAACCTTGTTGCATGTTGTACATCGTTGACGTTTCTGCGGTAATGGACACTTATTGGAGAAGTGACCGGCTTCGCTGCAGTTATAGCACTTAAGTTGGGCTCTCGTAGATTCACGCTGCTTAGCTGCTTCGCCCACTTTGGCCTTTTGTTCGTCTCGTTTCACAAATTGTTCATTTTTAGTTTCGTATAATCCTCCACGGTTTACAAAGTAATCTTCGATTGCGTCTCTCATTTGCTTCACCGTTGTTGCTGTTGTTGTAGCGGCTACAACAACCCCGCCCAGATCGGTTGGTATCTCAGTCGTTGTCGTCAAGTTCCACTAACGGCAACCCTAGGAAGCGTGCAGCTTCTGTGGGATCTGTCCACAGGGACAGGGCCGTTAGGGTAGTCGGGTTTTCCGGGCATGCGAAGAGATGGTTCGAGTCATGTGGGGTCTCTCCGCATGCCTGACATTCGTTCGGCACATCCTCATTCAGCCTACTCAAGTAGGAGTTTAACCTGCTGCAGTAGCCGGAGCGAAGTTGAGCAAGTGTAGTGCGTGTCTCCCGAGGCAGATGAAGCTCTGTCTCGTCAATGTCCGGGGGTGGTATGCCTAGAACGGCATTCACAGGTCGAGAGTCTACATAACTCGAGACTGAGTCCCCGTGAATGCCGTTCAGGGCCTGTCTGTACGCTGTCGGGTCCAGAGGTTACTTAATGAACCTCTGGACTTCGTCCGTCAGTTCATATAGATGCCTCCTGACGTGCCTAGGCGAGGGCTCCTCTGCAAGCAGCTGTCTGTTTGGGTGGCCACTTCTGTGGCTCCCGATCAGGAACTGCTTGCAGAGCATTATGTTGTGCTCCCTAACTGGGAGCATTTGCGCCTCGCCGTGCAAGTGATGTTCTGGCGTCATCAGGAGGCATCCCGTCGCTGTCCTAAGTGCCGTATTTTGTCCCGTCTGTAGCTTCGTCCACTGCGTCCTACTATTCCCTGGCGACCACACTGGCGCTGCGTAGTTCAAGACCGGCCGGCCTATTGCCTTGTATGTTGCCAGCAACGTTTCTTTGTCTTTGCCCCAAGTACTGCCGGCTAGCGACTTGAGGACCTTGTTGCGGCTCTGTACTTTATTGACAATAGCGGTTGAGTGCGCAGAGAAAGAGAGCAGGCTGTCGAATGTTACTCCGAGTATTTTGGGGTTATTCACCGTCGGAATTGGTGTGTCATCGACGTGAATCCCCAGCGGTAGCCTGACCTCCTTCGTCCAGGTTGTGAACAGGGTCGCGGAGGATTTCGTAGGGGAGAGGGCTAGACACTTTGCAGTGAAGAAGCGAGAAAGTTCGGAGAGATAGCCGTTTACTTTCGAACACAGGTCATCACCGTATTAAACTTCATTGCTGCAATACTCTGCTGAAGCTCACGATGCTTCAGTCCTACCCTTATGTAACGTATAATAGCGGATTCACTAAGATTGTATCGAACTCCTATTGATGAGACTCGAAAACAATACTCGTTGATACGTTCTTTTGGGCGTCTCGTTGCGTTAGACATCAGAAAATGTATTTCTGCTTCATCGTGCGTTGTACCAAATTCACTTTTTAAAGCGTTTGCAAAATCTGCCCACGTTGTATGTAGAACAGGTGATGCGTCCAACCACATTCTTGCAACCCCGTTGAGTCGCGTATAAATAGCTAACAAAAGAAATTTTTCATCCCATCGATAAGCTTCGATCACTTTATTGACGCGATCAATAAATTGTTCCACCGTAATGCTTTTGTCGCTTATCGGATCAAATTCCGGCAGGGTATTTGCTATTTCTTTTACCGATGCATGACGTGTGTTTATGTTCGTTGAGCTGTATTCGTTCGAGTAAATTCGCGTGGCAGTAATTTCGTTGCTTGCTACAGCACCGCTGTTGCTTACACTTGCGCCGTCGTTATTTGCTACTGCGCTGCTGCCGCTCGCTGGCAGCGATACATTTTGCGCAACGTTTTCCACTTGCGTTGTGCTGGAATTCATGCCGGTGCGTTGTACTTGTAGAAACTGCGTCATCATTTCTCGCAATTGCCTCATCTCCTCCTGAAGCTGTGATACTGTCGCCATATTAGCTCCTTCCTCTGTTGTTTTGGACTCGTGCCAGTCCAACTCTTCGGCGTTCTCGTATTCACACAAACGTTGAATTAACTGGTCCCGTGTGCCTGTCGTTTGCAATTGCCTTTCTCGAAGAAAGAATTTCAATTGATCGACCTTAAATTCGCAAATTTTTGTCATCTTGTTGTATACACGTAGTATTCAATATATGTATCAACACAAAACTTCTCGCTTCACTCGTACGTGTGTCCGTGCACTTCGTTTTACAAACTTGATGCTGCAGGTCTCGTTTTGCATACACCAATTTGCCTTCACTTGTTGCTGGTTTCGTTTTTCGAACCGTCGATTCACGTTGGTTGTCGTTGTTGCATTGAGCGCTTGTTGCTCGTTGCCTTCGTCGTGTCGCCACAGACCGTGCGCTAGCGAACACTTTGTTAGCGAATTACGGGTGAGTTTTGCATGTAAATATGTATGCACATATATACGCACGCGCGTTTACAAACGTTTTACCGAATTAAAATGCGAATTGTAGGCAGAGTGGATTGCGATCTCACTTCTGAACTGAGAACGATGAGGATGGATACTCAATTTTACAGCAAATGAATTGATATTTATTTAAATTAGGAATGACAGAGTATGATTATGAAAATATAAATTGAAAGTATAAAAGTATTTCTCGATGTTCTTGCTACCGCGGCACGTTTGTTTCTGCCCGAGTCTGTCTACCCACTCGTTGGATTCTGACAGCGGTGTCTGGGTTGCCATCGCTTAAACTGGGCTACAGGTTGCCTCTCTTAAGTGAAGAGCAGCGAGCGCTGCTATCTGCTTTCCTAACAAATCCAGTGGGAGAAGATCCAAAATAGTGTTCAGAGCATCGTTTGGCGTAGTTCTGAGCGCTCCGCTTAGGCAGATCATACTGAACCTTTGCACTTTGATGAGAAGCCTGAGGTTGACCTCTTTATCTAACGCAGGCCACCACACGATCACTCCATACTGTAGGATTGGTCTGACGACTGATATAAATATCCAAATCCGGGGACTGAGGCCCCATCCCTATAGCCCATTTGCAACTACAGGGGGCTACGGAAGCCTTCTCATATTGATGAACTATATTTTACTTCCAGCTCAGCTTCTTATCTAAAATAACGCCAAGTTTTTTGTAGCGAGACTTAACCGAAAGCCGTTTAGCTCCGGTGGAGCGACGGAAGGCATTTTATACCTTCTCGTGAAAAGGACGAGGTCTACTTTGCTTGAGCTGACGCTTAGGCCAAAGCGGCTAGACCACTTAGATATATGCAAGCTGGAGAGGTTCCGGGGTTCTCCTGCAGAACATCAAAAATGACGTTCGCGACAGCTGCCTTCACCCACCTCCACTGGTCCTTCGGTATGGACCCGTGCTCGTTGCCTCGGTCCAAAACCCCTATGAAGATTCGGTCCTTCGCATCCTCGCCAAAGCTAGGTTTGCTCATCCAGGAGTGTAGCCGGACTCTTTTGGGTGCAGGAAGTTTTTCCTCCACCGACCTTTCTTCGCTTTGACGGAGGTACCTGATTTTCCACCGAAACGGGTCTTAATAAAAATGCTTGGAGCTACTGCTTGTTTCTTTCGAAGCTTATACATATATTAGTTATAGAAATAAAAAGTAAGCCAGTAAGTAAGTAAAGGCCATCTAAGGCTAAGTATTGTCGTCAAAGTAAGGATTTTATAGTCCAACAGTTGCCTAATTTGAAAATTATTACACATTATTTCAGGCTTTCAACATACATATATATACTCCTATATAGTTAGCTGCCCTTTCGCTAGTTTTTCAAATTCATGCATAAAGCGAGTTTGGTATCATATTATCCGTAACGCGCATGGTGAATTTGTCACGCAACTAAAGGGACCTAAAGTTCTAGGTCGCCTCCGAACGGCAAATAGTTTTTTGAGAAGCGATTTTATGGCAGAAGTACACTCGGAGTTTTTAAAATAGGACGACCGCGAAAAGGAAGTTGCGTCTTCCTAAAATAAAATTGAAAAATTGAATGAAATGGTAACTCTTCTGGCTATGTATTTTTGAGGAAAATTATCCTTTTTGTCTATTTTAATACAAAAATATAGCAAAACGAAGAACAATTTTACATGTCAACAAACAGGAAAAAATTAAACTTAAGCAAAACGGCAATGCTCCCCACACCAACCGACGCGCCGCTACGTTCACGTAGGTGAGCGAAAGTTCCGCAGGGTTTTCACTGCTGCTGCAGCCCGCTTCATTCCAGCACAGTACATTTCGGACCCCCGTCCGAATTTTACCGCTAAAGCGGCTGTTCTAGCAGATGAGCGTGACAACCTTCCGGGATCAGCCGGAAATCTCCGCATCGGGGATCTCAATACGCATATTCGGCAGTTTGTGAGCGTACATAAGCGAAAAAAGTAGGAAGAACATCTGAAGACTTGCAACTTCACCTCTGGTGTGAGTAGGCTTTGGTCAACCGTTAGGTCACTGTCCAATCCGATGAAACGCGACGACAGAGTCGAAATCTTATTCGGCGACCGCGCCTCGTCGGATCCGGAGCGAAACGCGGGCTATTTTTTCCGACAATTCATGCTGCATCCTCTGGCAAACAAAACTAAACGTAGAGTGACCAGAAGACTGCACAAACTGTCAAGGACAAGTGCGCCTCTGCATTTCACTTGCGATGGAGTTCAGGTAGCATCGTTAAAGTAAAAGCCTCTAAAGCCATAAGGGCCGACGAAATATGCATGCTGATTCTGAAAAATTTGGGTTCTGCGAGAGTAAACAACAACCCCTAATGCCATACACGCCTAGATAACACGTGGCCTAAACCGAAACCGCTCCTGTGAGAGAATTGTTCTAGCAGCGTTGGAACTGTCCAAGGCGTTTGACACAGTCAGTCACCCCTCTCTTCCACAGAAACCAAGCGGTGGTCGGCGAATTATCTGAGTTGCCAACACTCGTCAGTAATATTTAAGGCCAGTATGTAGCTCTCAAGAAAAGCAAAAGCTCCATATAAAATGACAAGAAATGGCTAAGAAATTTTCTTTGTAAAATTTTCTAGAGGCAGTACACAGTTCTTAAGGAATTTGCTACGATTTCTACTACGGTTTTCTAAAGTTTTTTTGTGAAAAAGCAGCACAAGGTAACCAATGCTTGCAACAGAAATATATAGCGAGGCAACTGGTTGGTGAAGTATCAGGTCAAAATTCCTTGGACACACACACGAAATAATGAACATTTTTTTATTGACCATTTTCTTGAGAGCTGCATACCAGCCTTTAGAAACAAATTGAGAAAACCCAGGAAAATAAGACAGGACGTTCCACAGGGTGGTGTCCTTTCCTCATTACTCTTCAACTTATATATTTCTAAGCTCCCTTAACCACCAGAGAGAGTGTCGTTTGTCTCTTACAGCCTTATTATCTATCTCGAACGATAGGCTGCACGAAGGAAGAAGGCGAATGCTTAAAAACTAGTCCTGCACAAATATTCTAGCCAGTTTAAATGTAACCGAGACGAGTTCAACGTTCGTAAAGCAAGACCAAAACGAACGATCGAGTTACAAAATTGCAGAATTGCGGGAGATTGCTCGATAATGGCATTTGGGAATGGAATTGATGACTTGTGCTAGAAAGTAAACGGTTACCTGTCCGAGCTTTCTCGCTACTTCACTGTAAGGAGCCTAACCCTCTTCCCTACGAAATCGTCAGCTACCCTTTTCACCACCTGTACGAAAGAGGTCAGACTGCAGCTGGGTATTCACGTCGATGACGTACCAATTCCGATGGTGAATAACCCGAATTTCCTCGGAGTAACGTTCGGCAGTCTGCTCTCTTTCTCCGCGCACACAACTGCAATTGTCAACAAAGTATAGAGCCACAAAAAGCTCCTCAAGTCGCTAGCCGGCAGCACCTGGGGCAAAGACAAATAAACTTTGGTGGCAACATACAAGGAAATTGGCTGACCGATTCTAAATTACGCAACTCCAGTGTGGTCGCCGGGGACCAGTAGGATGCAGTGGATGAAGCTACAAACGACTTAAAATACAAACTCCGGATAGCGACCGGATATCTTCTGGTGTCGCGAAAACATCACCTGCCTGACGAGGCGCAAATGCTCTCCATAAAGCAGCACAACGCAATGCTCTGCAAGCATTTAATAGTAGGGAGCCACAGACTTGGACACCCGAACAGACACTCGCTTGCAGAGCAGCCCTCGCCAAGGCACATCAGAAAGCATCTATACGAACTGGTGGACGAAATGCAGAGGTTCATAAAGAAGCCTCTGAACCCGAGAGCATATCGACAGGCCTTGATGGGCATTCACAGGGAGTCGGTCTTAAGTTACGTAGACTCTAGACCTGTGAACGCCGTTTTGAGCACACAACCACCTGACGTGGACCAGACGGAGCTTCGTCTGCCTCGAAAGACTCGGACCACAATAGCCCAACTTCACTCTGGCTACTGCAGCACGTTGAACTCGTACCTGTAGCCGCTACAACAACAACAACGCACTTTTACTATATTTTACCCATGGTTTCGCGAATATATATTGATTTTTCTATGTGTAACATTTACTGTCGCACGGTGTTATCAATATAATGAGCTAGATGTTTATAAAAACAATATTAAATGCTAACTAAACAAATAAAAATAAATAACTAAATAAATATGAAACACATTCAAAACACACTAAAAAACAAGCTTCAAGAAAGAGAATTTGAGAAAATAATTGAAAGCCAAAAACAATTCTCAAATAAAATCGCAATGGACACATAGCAAACACATTTAAAAAACTCCAGAATCAGATTTCAATGAATGTGACAAAATTTGGCATTAGGTATAACGAAGAATGATTCATAAAGAAAACTTAAATCCAAGTGACACAGAAATATCGGTTGCTACCCTCTTGGCAATAAATTTGCACTGCTTGTTTCAAGAAAGACGTTTTCACCTATCGGATTTATTGCAGATTTGGAACAAGGTATACAAGAGATCGAATACGACAGAGAAAAAGGTATGGTAAGAAGCAATATTGCAGCCAAAATCCATGCGTAATAATAATAATAACTAACGGACAAATAACTAGCAGACAAAGGCAGTAAAACGGTCATGATGTATAGAGAGGATTACAAATCAAAAATGAGTGAATTATTGAGCGACAAAAAATTGTACAAAACTATAC